GCCAGACCTGGGCTTGGTCCTGCCTACTCCACCCGCCTGCAGGTCCACCCTCGGATGTCCACCTCCACATGGGTGAACCTGAGACTCAGCTTAGTGTCAGCTTGTCCCTGCCTGCCTGGGTGGTCGGCACCCACCTGCAGCTGCTCGAGCGGAAAGCACCCGGCTGGGCTTCGCCTCTATTCAACTCACCTCATCTCCTAGGTCCATCTGCCCCAGCCCCTTACCCTCTGCGCCACCAGCCAGGCCGGGCACCACACCTCTCCTGGGGGGCCATCTTCCCGCTCCCACTGTGGCTCTAGTTAGCCGGCCACTGGAGGGATCCTTTCAAAACACGACAAAAGGCAAAACTCTGGGAATAGTGAAAAGATCAGAGGTTGCCAGGGCTTGGGGTGGTGAGGGTGGACAGGTGGAGCACAGAGGATTTTTAGGGCAGTGAAACTGCTCTGTGTGACAGTACGGTGTGGACACGTGTCACTGTACGTCTTTCCAGACCTGTAGAAAGTTCATCACCAGGAGTGGACCCAGCGTGAGCTGTGGATCTGGGGTGATGGCGCCGTGTCAGTGTAGGTTCATCCATTGTGCTCTCTGGTGCGTTGTTGATAAGGGGGCAGGCTGTGCATGTGTGCAGGCAGGGGAAATCTCTGTATCTCCCTCTCAATTTTGCTGTAAACCTAAAACTTCCCTGAAAAAAATCTCTTAAAAACAAACAAACAAAAGAAGTCATGGCATTGCTCTGGACCGCTGAGAGGGCTCCCCATTTCAGCCTGAGTCACAGTCCTATCCTCACTGTGGTCCCAAGGCCTCATGTGACCTCGTCTCTCACCACTCACACACTTACTCTGCCCCATGTCCACTAGCTGCCCTTCTGCTGCTTGGATTCCATGAGTTCTTTTCTACCTCAGGGCCTTTGCACGTGTGTCCCATCTGTCCCCCAGGTATTCTCACTGCTGGCTTGTCCCATCACTTGGTAGGTTTTAGATGTTACCTGGGAGAGGCCCTCCCTGCCTGACTCTGTGCTCCCTGTCACACCTCTTCATGGCACATCTGATGTGCTCCTAAAGTGTCAAGTAGTTGCCACATGATGCCTATCCACTCTCAGAATGTGAGCCTGAAGGGAACTGGGCCCATCCTCCCCAGGATGGGGAGGCTGCCCTTCTCCGTTTCCTGTCTGTCCATGTTGCCTCCTGGAGTGGAGGAGGGAGACAGGGACCCTGTCTACAGAAGGTGCAGAGAAGCAAGCGTGGCACCCACCAGGTCCTGCCAGGCTCTGTCTCCTGACCCCCACCCCACGGCCAGCTGTCTTCAGGATGTCTTGTCCTTCCTACTCTATCCAGTTGTACCTTTCCCCAGAGACCTGCCTGCCCCATCCCACCCCTGAGTCCCAAGCTGTTCTGAGCCCCTGAAGTCCTGAGGGTGGGGGTCCAGTACAGGCACACCAGTTCAGAGTAGGCTGTGACTGATAGACTTCCACAGTGGGTGTTTTCCAAGGGTAGGGGCCCAGTAAGGAGTCTGGAGCTGAGTCCTGCGTGGCACCTTACAGCTCGCTACCTGCTTGAACGCCGCCACAGTTCCAGCCCGGGGCCCACCTCCCCCTGCACTGACATTGGGTGTTCTACAGGGGGTCGGCTGGGCAGGGCCTGAGCTACAATTTCACCCACCTGGACGGGTACCTGGACCTTCTCAGGGAGAACCAGCTCCTACCCGGTAAGTCTGCCCTCTCCCATAACATGGCCCCTCCGGGTCCTTGCTGGTTGCCGGCCCCAGCCTGGCCTCAGTGCTAGTGTGGCAGAGCCGGGCAGGGCGGGCCAGGTGCTGCGTGGGCGGGGGGCGCTGAGACAGCTGCCCTCGTGTTTCAGGCTTTGAGCTGATGGGCAGCCCCTCTGGACACTTCACCGACTTCGAGGACAAGCAGCAGGTGTTTGAGTGGAAGGACCTGGTTTCCCTCCTGGCCAGAAGATACATTGGTGGGCAGGATGCAGGCTCTGGGGAACGGGTGGGTGCTTCTGGGCAGGGTCTCCTCCCTCGTCACCTGGCCATCGCCCTGGTCTTCTCTGTCATGGACCGGCTGAGCCAGGGCCTCCTGAGATAGAGGGAGGCCACAGGGCAGTGGGGGGCAGGCTCATGGAACCAGACACTCCCCATCACATCCAAACCCCCAACCCTGGGCGCCCCTGCCTGCCAGTCAGGCTGGGGCGGGCATTCCCCTGCCCAGGGGAGGGGCCCACGTACAGCTGGGTTGTGCTGTAGGTAGATATGGACTTGCCCACGTTTCCAAGTGGAACTTCGAGACGTGGAACGAGCCGGACCACCACGACTTTGACAACGTGTCCATGACCACACAAGGTGGGCACACCTCTGGGTTCCTGTGGAGCTGAGCCGGGTCGCGGGCCCCGCAGGTGCCAGGGTGTGGACTCTGCAGTCTCTCCCGCCAGGCTTCCTGAACTACTACGATGCCTGCTCCGAGGGTCTGCGTGCCGCCAGCCCCACTCTGCGCCTGGGTGGCCCTGGCGACTCCTTCCACCCCCCGCCACGCTCCCCACTGTGCTGGGGCCTCCTGGAGCACTGTCACCACGGCTCCAACTTCTTCACCGGGGAGGTGGGCGTGCGGCTGGACTACATCGCCCTGCACAAGAAGGTGCGGCCCGGCAGCCTGCCCCTCCGCCCGTTGGGGACCCCGCCCCTTCGCCCGCTGGGACGCACCCCGACCTCCGCCTGCCACAGCCCCGCCCCCCCCTCCCCAGCTGCGGTCCCGTGGTGGCCGGGCCGCGCTGAGGCTGGGCCCTGCCGCAGGGCGCGGGCAGCTCCATCTACATCCTGGAGCAGGAGAAGGCGGCGGTGCGGCAGATACAGCAGCTCTTCCCGAGGTTCGGGGACACCCCCATTTACAACGACGAGGCGGACCCGCTGGTGGGCTGGTCCCTGCCGCAGCCGTGGAGGGCCGACGTGACCTACGCGGCCATGGTGGTGAAGGTGGGCCCACCCCCAAGGCTTCCCCCCTGGAGCGGCCTTCCTTCCGGGGTGGGGGCTTGGGGGCGGGTGGCCGTGGTCCCAGCCGCCCCCGACGCCGGCCCTGGACGCCCGCAGGTCATCGCGCAGCACCAGAACCTGCTAGTGGCTAACGCCAGCTCCTCGGTGCGCTACGCGCTCCTGAGCAACGACAACGCCTTCCTGAGTTACCACCCGCACCACTTCTCGCAGCGCACGCTCACCGCGCGCTTCCAGGTCAACGACACGCGGCCGCCGCACGTGCAGCTGCTGCGCAAGCCGGTGCTCACCGCCATGGGGCTGCTGGCCCTGCTGGGTGAGCCGCCCGTCCCCGCATGCTTCCTGCGCGAGGGGTGGACTGGGAACGGACAGGTCTGGCACGCGCTAGGCGGGGCCCGGGCGAGGCCTCAATTAGCAGGGATGTCCTTCAGGCCCAAGGTGGGGGGGTGGGGCGAGGAAGAGCACCTTCCCCCATCTGGCCTGTTTCTTGTCCCTTCGCGTCCCGCTTGCCCTAACTCAGTGGGCCTCAGAGGTTGTGGGTGGCCGGGGAGTACCAGTGGAGGGGGCAAATAGTGGGAAGCCAGGCAGTAGGATGGGAAAGGGGCAGCGATCTCTGCGCAGTGACCCCCTCCGCATCCCCGCCCCGCAGACAGCGAGCAGCTCTGGGCCGAGGTGTCGCAGGCTGGGGCGGTGCTCGACAGCAACCACACGGTGGGCGTCCTGGCCAGCGCCCACCGCCCCGCGGGCCCCGCCGACGCCTGGCGCGCCACGGTGCTGGTCTATGCAAGCGACGACACCCGCACCCACGCCAACCGCAGCATCGCCGTGACTCTGCGCCTGCACGGGGTGCCCGCGGCCCTGGGTGAGCAGGGGTCCTACGGAGGGGGTCCCCGGCCCTGGGGTCGGGGCTCTGGCGGGGCGGGGCCTGGAAGGGGCGGCCCGGAGAGGCGCGGTCACAGTGTCTGGCTCCCCAGGGCTCGTCTACGTCACGCTCTACCTGGACAACCGGCTCTGCAGTCCCTACGGCGAGTGGCAGCGCCTTGGCCGGCCTGTCTTCCCCTCCGCACAGCAGTTCCGGCGCATGCGCGCGGCCGAGGTCTGCAGCAGCGTGGGCGAGGGGCGGGCGGGGTGGCCCCCGAGGTCCCAGGGCCCTGAGCTCCCACCCCTATCCCCAGGACCCGGTAGCCTTGGCGCCGCGCCCCTTCCCCACCAGCGGCCTCCTGACACTGCGCCCCCGACTCCCGCTGCCTTCGCTGCTACTGGTGCACGTCTGCGCGCGCCCCAAGGAGCCTCCGGGCCAGGTGATTGGCCGCTCCTCCTCCGCCGCCACCCCCCCTCTCCCCGCCACCCGCCCAGTCACGGAGCCTCCCTCCCTTCCCCAGGTGACCCGGCTTCGGGCTCTGCCCCTGACCCGTGGGCAGCTGCTTTTGGTCTGGTCGGATGAGCACGTGGGCTCCAAGTGCGTGAGTGGTCGCCGCCCCACCCGCGCCCATTCGTCCCCACCCGCGTCCTCACCCCCAGCCTGTTCTGCCGCAGTGCCCGTGTGGCCACTCCACCGTGCCCGCGTACAGTCATTCCGTGCCCCTCCGCCCCTCACAACACACCCTCCACTTCACACTGCTGCGGATGGCCCGAGGTCGAAGCCTGTCTTATGGGGGTGGAGGTGCCTACAGGGGATATTTGCAGGTAGCAGTCGGGCTCCAGCCCCCTTGCCTCAGCCAGTGTGGCCAGGGATCCGGGAGAGGTCAGGAAGGGACTGGAGGGAATAGGGCTCTGGGTCTTCCCTGCCCAGCCCCCCAGACTCCAGCCCTGGCCCTGACCGACCTCCCCAGGTGTCTGTGGACCTATGAGATCCAGTACTCCCCTGAGAGTGAGGGATATGCTCCCGTCAGCAGGAAGCCATCAACCTTCAACCTCTTCGTGTTCAGCCCAGGTGCGCCTGCCCCACTGCCCTGGCCTCGGCCACCCCACCCCTGGCCTCAGCACAGTGCCCTATGGGGTGGGGTCCCGGCCTCACAGAGTCTGGAGTCGGGAGCTTTAGGAATTTGGGGTGGGTTCAGGGGGGCACACGCTCAAGGACGCACATATACCTTTGTGTCCCCAGACACGGCTGTCGTCTCCGGCTCCTACCGGGTTCGAGCCATGGACTACTGGGACCGGCCAGGCCCCTTTTCAAACCCTGTGCGGTACCTGGAGGTCCCTGCACCGTGAGGGCCACCACTGCTCAGTGATGGAGCCTGTGCTGACCAGCGGACCCAGTGGCCAGGAGCCGAGGTGGGCCAGACCACCATAGGCCTATCAGTTCTTCATTAGCTCTGTTCATCTTCTCCCACCCCTTCACACACTCCCTTAAAGTGTCTTTCTGTATGTCGGTCTTAGGGTTGGCCTTTGTGGACGGGCGCTGGGCAGACGGGGAGCCTGGCTGGAGCAAGGCCTTCTACACTTCCTTCCCATTCAGAGCATTCTCTCCCACCTGTGGGAGCCGGGATGGAAGTGGCTTGAGCACAGACAGGTCTGAGCTACCGGAGGAGGCCGAGGGTCTGGCGTCTCTGGTGTCATGGCTGGGTGCTGCGGGCCCCATTCCTGCCTTCCTGCCCACCTGCAGAGCTGAGGCTGTGCTGGGGGGGTGCGCCTGGGTCAGGACAGAGCCCAGGGAGGACCCACTTCCTGAAGTGGGGGGAGGATGTAGGGTAAGGGGGAGGGTGGGGCTTCCAGGCTGCCTGGCCCAGACTGTGGCCAGCAGCAGAAAAGGCCAGCAGTGTCCAGTGCGGGCTGTGCCCCTGCGGTCATCCTCCTTCCGTATCGGGGCCCAGAAGGAAACAGATGGCATTCACAGAGGAGAACGTTTCGGGGATGTTCATACATGTGAGGAGCAGGGGCAGAGAAGCCCTAGGGCTCCTCCCCACACCCACCCCCTGCCCCAGGGCAGACAGAGCAGGTGAGGGACAAAGGTGAGGAGAGGCCACCTGACAAGGAGCAGAGACCTTGGGCCCAGCGACTCAGCCAGCCTGGGGGCCCTGCGAACAGCAGTGGGGGCGTGGAGGCCCCGATCCCACTCTCCTCTCCACTGCCCCCCAGGGCTGCCCTGGGTTCAGGGGTGGGGCAGGGGACGTGGACCTGCGACCGCTCTGGCTCCCGCAAACCCCGCTGCCCTCATCTATGTGAAAAGCTCAGGGGCCACCAAATCCTGCCAGCTGCCTCATTGTGGGCGGGAGATGTCAATTTGATCACACTTCTATCTGAACCCCAAAGCCAGTGCCTGCTCCCCATTCTCCTTTCCCCACGTGGGGCCTTAGGGCTCTTAGGATCTGCGTGGGGGCCCAGACCGTCTGTCTGGGGTCCCCGTCCTTGTGTTTCTGGGGACCATTGTTCACTGATGTTGACACTGCACAAGGGGCAGTTGGGTTCCTGGCCCCCTCCCCCCCCCGCCCCCGGTCTCGGGAACTGTCTTCCTGCCCTGTCAGAAAGCCCTGCCTTGGTTGGCTGCACTGCCATGACGAAGGATGACAGACTGGCGGCTCCCACCACAGGCACCTATCTCCTCTTCGTCTGGAGGCCAGGAGTCGGGGATCAAGGTGTTGGCAGGCTGGTTCCTTCTGTCCTTGGCTTCTCCCTGTGTGTCTGCGTCCTCATCTCTTCTGACGAGGACGTCTGTCATATGGGATTAGGGCCCACTTGCATGGCCTCGTTTGAATTCCCTCTTTAAAGGCTCTGTCCCGGGCCGGCCCTGTGGCTTAGCGGTTAAGTGCGCGCGCTCCACTGCTGGCGGCCCGGTTTCGGATCCCGGGCATGCACCGACGCATCACTTCTCTGGCCATGCTGAGGCCGCGTCCCACATACAGCAACTAGAAGAATGTGCAGCTATGACATACAACTATCTACTGGGGCTTTGGAGGAAAAAAAAAAAAAAAAAAAAAAAAAAAAAAGAAAAAGAAAAAAAAAAAAAAAAAAACCCTTAAGGGAAAGGGGCAGAGGGGGATTCTCCCTCTCTCTCCACAGTACTATGGGTTTAAAAAAAAAAAAAAAGGCTCTGTCCCTGTTACAATCACATTCTGAGGTGCTGCGGTTAAAACTTCAACATCCACATTTGGGGGGATGCAGTTCAGCCCACAGCAAGCAGCGATCCCAATTCTTGGTGGTGGTCAGGAGCCATCATCCCAGTGGTAAAGCAGCCTTTTCTCCACCTGCGGGTTCAGTGGCCTGAAGACCCCTGTCAGTTGGGGGTCATCTCCACTTCCAGCTTACTGGGAGGAGGCCCAGGTCCTTCCTTGGACAGCAGGACTTTCAAACCATCTGAATGAGATCCCGCAGGGGCGGTGGGGCCGCTCTACTCTCCCCTCCTGCCAGCCCGGTGTGTTCTGGCTTTTGGCAAAGCAGCAGCACATTCAGATGCCGAGTGCGCCCCCGCTGGGTCAGAGCAGCATGTGCAAGTATGGTACATGCCGCCCCTAGTCGAGTCCCACCAAACACTATGCCTCTTAGGAGTGGGCGGTGAGAGATATAACGGCTTACCTCACTTTAAATGGGACATCCCAACATTTCCCAGACCATCGGATCCCTAAGACTTCCCTGGAGGCTCCTGAACCCTGCAGGGGTTACTCCTGCCCTCTGGAAACCTTGTGTTTTAGTGGGGCATCAGGGTGCTCCCCCTCGTGCGCCTGGTCCAGTTAGCATAAATCCATTAACGAAGCAGGACCCTCTGGTCACGTCAAGACAGCAGGGGCGTCGGTGGCATCCAGGTAAACCGTGAAAGCATGCTCACGTCCCCTATCACCTGAGGGCAAACTGCTTCTGGTTCCTTCCTTGATGGGAACAGGGAAGGTGTCTGCCAGGTGAGCTGTGCAGCAGGTGCCATGGGCCAATCCCTCCAGTAGACACCATGTCCGTCCATACCTCAGCTGTGAAGGGCGTCACTGAGGGTCACGTTGTGGTCATCTGTCATTCAATGCCCGGCTGGCAAGTTATACGGAGAACACGGAGGGACGCCCCCCTGCATCTTCCAAGTTTCTGATGTTGCGATTAACCTCTGCGGTTTCCCAGGAATTTGTTTATTTTTGTTTGGCGTGGAGGGGCAGCCCCGGGGCTTCCATGACAGCCCTCGCTCCGCAGGTCAGGGGACCAGTGTGGGGGTGCTGCCACTGGGTACACATGAATGTCCTACTGTACATTTTGGGGACAGATACCTACAGGAAGGGTCTGCAAAGCCCTCCGCTCGCGGATGCAGGCCAGGGCCCCGTCTGCTCCGCGGTGATGGTCTGCGAATGACAGGTCAGTACCACTTCAGAGCCGTCATCCAGGAGCCCCTGGGAGGCCTGATATCTCCCTCTGCCCAGGGCATTCGCCAGAAAATGGCCACAGGTGCTCCTCACATATTTGGGGACGTACATCAGAGACTATTGTGGGTTCTCTTTCAGGGGATCTGGCCTCCTGCTCGGTCAAGGGCTCTGGCCCCGTGAACGGGCTTAGGTCTGGGATGGGACATGAGGCTCCGAGCCTTGCTGTGACAGGCTGTGTCGGAGAGCTGCCCTCCAGACCCGCGATGTCGCCACTGCGTGTGCTCCAGGCAGCACTTGGGCAGCTGCTCACCTGTTCCTTCCTTGGGACCTTGCATGGGATGGGTCAGCTCGTGTTTGCCGAGGACCCTGAGGGTCTGTTGCTCCAGAAGTGCCCGTGAGTCCCCTGAGTCTTATTAAATTCGGGTCTGACCTGCTAGTCTGTCTGGGGTGGGCCCGAGACTGTGTTTCCCACAACTCCAGGTACTGCTGGTCCCGGAGCACGCACGGGTCGCAGCGGGCCTCCAGCTGTGCAGGGATGCGGCTGCAGGCCGAGGTAAGGCCACTCCCAGGGGCTGAGGCCCTCAGGCCCCGTCCCCCGTCCCAGGTGGCCGCAGCCACCACACCTGCAGGGCTCTGTGGTGTCTGAGACGTGCCTCCCAGGCTCCTGCAGTGCTGTCAGGGAGGCTGGGGCTCCCTCTCCTTTGGAGCGCCGTCCGTCCAGGCTGTGCTGGGGTCTTATTTTTTGGTTCTGGTGGCAGAGGAATGGCCGAGGCGCAGAGTGGACAGGCTTTACACGGGGCTGGGGACCCCCCGCGAGGGGACGCGGTGGTCTCGGTTTCCTGCCCATCTGTCCTGTGTCCCTCCCAGGTCCCAGGGGCCCCTCCCTTCCTTGCAAGTTGCCGTTCATCAGCAAACAAGGGACCCGGCTGCAGCCCCTAGAACCGGGCCCTGGGTACCGTCCTGTGGCCACGGAGGCCCCTGAGCCCCACGTGCCCTCGGCTCAGTTTCACTGCTTCCCTTTCAAGGGAGGAGGAGGGACGCCCAGTCTTTAGAAGCACTTCTGTTGCCATAGCAACCAGTCCCCTGCGGTCCACCTGCACTTCACCCGCCTGCCAGTAATTGGAGTAACCACAGTGCTGTTGCCCACAAACAATGTCAGCCCAGGGCCCCTCGGATCTGTGAGCCTCCTGATGCCAGAACCCCGTGTGGAGGGTCTGTGTTCTGGGGCCACTTCTAGTGCTGATGGCCCCACCGGTCAGGGCCTGGTGGGGAGGACACGCGCCCCAGTGGAGAGAGTTTCAGGGCAGGGACTGGTTGCAGGGCTGGGTCAGGGAAAGCCCAAGGGAGCCTCGTGTAGGGGCTGGGGCAGCGGGGAGGGGGCATTACCCCTCCCAGGTCTTCAGGAGGAAGAGAGGGCTGCCCCACAGGCCTGAGACCTTTGACCCCGGCCTCGGACTTCCAGGTTGTGCACAGAGCAAACCCGAGCAGAAGCCAAAGGCAGAGGAGCCAGATGCCGCCACATACCTGGGCGTGACCCAGGCCCAGTGCAGGGAGGGGGCAGCAGTGGGACTGTGGGGGAAGGCTGAATGAGGGCAGAGGAGGAGGGCCGTCTTGAGCCTGGGGCCTTCACCTGCAGCCCAGGGTGGGCACTGGGTCAGCTTGGGCAGTGGGGGTATGGATGGAGTCCAGCCCTTGGCATGATGGAGCCTCATGAGTGCACCCCTTCAGGCTGAGAGACCCTGGGTGCAGCTGTCAGGGTGCATGCACCCCGCCTCCCTACCTAGATGTCACCACCACCACAGATGTCACCACACCTGACCTGCCCTTCTAGGGTGCAGCCCAAGCACCCCGACACCAGGTCAGAAATTCTCCCTGCAGCCTCCTGGTTGCGGGGCCCCACCTGGGCTGGCACAGGAGAGGGGCTGCCCACAGGATGGTCTGAGTGGCCCTTCTCGCCGAGGCGGCTTCAGACAGCCCCACTGAGCAGCCCGAGGTGGCCAAAGGCCCATTGCCTGCCCTCCGTGTCCTGCTGAGCCCTTCTCCTGGCCCTGGTGCCAGCTTGTACAGCTGCCATCCCACCAGGTGAGGTTGTGCGTTAGGAGCCATGCGGGAGGGGGCCGCAGGTGCCAGTATTGCCTCGGCTCCTGCTCCCTGCCCAGACCACTGCCCCCGGGAGAGAAACCCGACAGGGAACCCCCTGGGCCAATGGCACTGGTGGGCTCAGCTTATCCACTGGGGAGGCTTGTCCACCCATCAGCCCTGGTCAGGACTGCCTGGCCTGACAGAGTCTTACGCTGGCCTTGAGTGAGAATCTTCTCAGGGGTTCAGGGATGTGCATCTGCAGGGGACCGGGGCCCTGTCTCGGAGGGAGTGCTGGTCAGCCCCGGAGCTGGCAGGGCTCTGCTTGGCCTCGGTCCTGTCCAGTGGCCCCTCCCAGGAGCTCTGGCCGTTGTCCTGTGACAGCCAGCCATGAAGCAGGACCAGTGTCACCCACACCCAGTGAGTCCCCATGGGGACAGCTAGCCCCCAGAAGGGGACTGGCTCTTCTGAGCTCACCCCTCAGAGGGGCTGCCCGCCCTACAGTCTGTGACCGAGAGTCACCGGTTGCACCTCGAAGAGGAAGGAGAGAGTGGGTCCAGAGCAGAGCCCTGCGCTCTGCCGAGGGAGAAGCTCCAGTGAGGTTCTCGAGTTGGAACAGCAGGTCACGGGAGAGAAGGTGAAGCAGAAAGGAGGTCATTTGTGCATTAAACAGCCTACAGTGGTTTACACCCCTACTCAGATGTTTGTGTATTCACTCAGCAAACACTGAAAGAGAGTCTATGCGGCTGAGGTGCCTGTCACGTCAGCGGCCTTCCCGGCCCCCTCCACGGAGGCTTCTCCTCTGTCTTTCTAGCACATCGACCTGGTTTGTCTTTTTAAAAAAACATGTTTATTGAGGTATAATTGACACAATAAATGGCACAATTTAAAGCATACAGTTTGATGAGTGTTGACACGTTACGTCCATGAAAGCGTGACCACAGTCTAGAGAGTGAACGTTTCCGTCACCCCCAAAAGGCGTCTGGGGCCCACCCCCGGGTCCCACTGTCCCGGGCAGCCACAGAGCTGCTTTCTGTCGCCACAGATCAGGTGGGCTTCCGGGAGTGTTGCACAAATGCCTCACGCAGTACGCGCCCTTCGCTGGCTTCTTTTGTCAGCGTGATTGTTTTGAGACACGTGTGTGTTGTTTCCAGTGTCTGTAGTTCACCCTCTCATTGCCAGCCGGCCCCACTGCACGGATGTAGAGCTGGCGTTTGCCCTCTCGCTTGTTGGTGGGCGTCTGGGTGGCCTCCTGTTCAGGGTCATCACAAAGAAGGCTGCTGTGAACATCTGTGTCCACGCCTTCCTTTCTGTCAGGTGAACACAGGGGTGGGAGGGCCGCATCGCAGGGCGAGAGGAGACATGTGCTCGGCTCCTCCGAACCCGCTGGACTGTTTTCCAAGTGGCTGTGTGGTCGTACAGGTCGCCAGCGCCGTATGGAAGTTCCATTGGCCGCACGCCCTCCTGGGGTGACTTGTATATATTGATCTCACATCTCGCCACGTGCCAAGTGCCCTAATATTATTGGTTCTAGTGGCTTTTTTCTTGTATATTCCATAGAATTCTCTACATAGATGATCATGTCATTTACAAATCAACACATTTTACTTATTTCTTTCCAATCTGAACTGGCTGGAACCTCCAGCACGGCATTGAAGAATGGTGTAAGAGCAACCCCGTGGCTGGTTCTGGTCTTAGGGGAAGCGTTAGTCTTTAACGGTGAAGCGTGGTGTTCGCTGCAATGTTTCTGTAGGTGCCTTTATCAAGTTGGGAATGTCCTTCTCCATGCCTAGTTTGCTGAGAGTTGTTTTATATATTTTTTTGGTGAGACTAACATTCGTGCTAGTCTTCCTCTATTTTGTATGTGGGACGCCTCCGTAGCATGGTTGACAAGTGGCGCAGGTCCACGCCTAGGATCGGAACCTGCGAACCCCGGGCCGCTGAAGCGGAGCACTTGAACTTAACCGCTACACCACCGGGCCAGCCCCTGGGAGTTGTTTTTTTAAAAATCAGAATGGGTGTTGGATTCCGTCCAGTGCTTTTTCTGCGTCTGTTGAGATAATCAGATGGTTTTTCCTTCTGTTAATATGGTAAGTTACATTGATTGATCTTCAGATGTTAACCCAACTTTGCATCCCTGGGATAAACCCCACTTGATCGTATGGTTATCCTTCCTCTATATTGTTGGATTTGATAACTAAAATTACAAATGTTTTGCATCTGTGTTGGTGACAGATATTGTCCTGCAGCTTCCCTTCTTGCCATTCTGTGCTGGCATCACAGGAGTGCTGGCTTCCCCGTGGAGTCGGAGCCCCTCCCTTCCCTGCAGTGCTCCTGTGATGTGGCTTGACTTCCTCCTCACGTGTATTGTGGAATTTCTCAGTGAAGCCCTCTGTGGGAAGGTTTTTAACTAAAAATTCAAGTTAATAGGTATATGCAGGTTATTGATTCCTTCTAGAGGGAACTTTGCTAGTTCTTATTTTTCAATGAATTTTTCCATTTCTTCTAAGGTGTCAAATTTATTGGCATAAGGTTATTCCTAACATTTCCCATTATTCTTTTAATGTGTGTAGAATCCGTAGTAATGTCGCCTCTCTGATTCCTAATATCCATAATTTGTATCTTCTCTCTTTTTCTCCAGATCCATCTGAAAGAGATTTATTGATTTTATTGATCTTCTCAAAGAACCAGCTTTGGTTCCATGCATTTTCTCTGCTGTTTTTCTGTTTTCTCTCTCGTTGAGTTCTAGCATGACCTTTACTATTTCCCTTCTTCTGCTCACTCTGGGTTTCACTGTTCTCGTTTTTTCTAGTTTCTGTGGATGGAAGCAGCGGTCGCTGATTTGAGACCTGTCTTCTCTGACATAGTGTTTAGTGCTGTATATTTCTCTCTAAGTGCTCCTTTGACTGCATCCCACAGCTGTTGATATGTTGTCTTTTCATTTCCATTCAGTTCAAAATAATTTTTAATTTTCCTTTTGATTTCTTCTTCGATACACGGGAAATTAAGAAGTGGATTATTTGGTTTGCAAATATTTGAGGATTTTCCAGTTATCTTTTTGTTAATGATTTCTAGTATAATTCCAGTGTGGTCAGATAACAGTCTTTGCATGACTTGAATTATTTTAAATATATTGAGACTTGTGGCCCAGAAAATGTTGGAGTGTTCTATAAATATCAATTGGGCCAAGTTAGTTGATAGTGTTGTTCAAGTCTTCTATATTCCTAATGGTTTTCTGTCCACTTGTTGAATCAAATATTGGGAGAGGAGTATTGAAGCCTCAAACTGTAGGTCTGCCCATTTCTCCTATTCAGGTTTTGCTTCATGGATTTTCATTATCTATTGTTAGGTGCATGCACATTTACGGTCATTAAGTGCTTCTGATGGTTTTACCAGTTTGTTATTGTGAAATGCCTCTCTTCATCCCTGGTGTTATTCTTGCTCTGAAATCTACTTTGCCTGATATTAACACAGCCACCCCAGCTGACTTCTGATTTGTGTCATCAGCACAGTCTATCTTTTCCCATCTTTTACTTTTAATCTATTTATGTCTATATTTGAAGGCAG